GTTTTGAGATTTAAAAACAAAAAAATATATAAAAAATTTGGAGGGGGGGGGGGGGAAGAACAGAAATGCTAACATAAAACCTCACATGAGAAAAGTCAAAACAAAATTTTGCAGAATACTGAATTTGAAATTCAGAAGTTCTTTGAATGTTTAATATATTGCTTTGCCTGCTTGCATCTACCAACACTTAAAAACTAATGAGAAAACTAATGCGACATCACGTGCAGGGTGAAAACAGTAAAGAAACAGCATTAAACGTTAATGGAAAAATACAAAAGCAAGTTGTTCCACATGTCCACAGCTCAACAAGTACTTCCTCACAAAGTATTTACCCTTTCCATGTGGCACAGGGAAAGAACAATAGGAAAAGGAGAGAGTAAGGATAAAGGAAACCTGTACCAAGCCCACCTCAAAGTCTACAGATCTAAAGCACAAACATAGAGAACATTAACTTAGGGTAGTACATCATGGTGTCTAAGTCACAAGCAGTAAGAGAGACAACAGGTCTTAAGAAAGCCCTAACATTACAGAAATATGGGTAGCAATTAATAAGTGTGCAAATTGATCTATAAAGACGACAAGAAAGAACCTACAAGTTAAAACAGTCAAGCAAATGTGGGTATCCTTGGCATCTGGTCTCTGAACCAGGGGATGCTTATGTTCATTTGGACAAAAGTGTCTGAATCAAAATACATAATCAGACTTGGGAGCAAAAACACAAGTCTGAGATTTTCCTCTTCCAGGAAATATCCTTAACAGTGGGACAACACTCAAGTTCTCCCACTCCTGTTGAGCTTCCTTAGGTTAGGACAATCCAAACCAGACATCCTTCCTGAATGACTGCTCTCACCTTTAAGGCTATTGAAAGGGTCCTCTCTCCTCTTCTACACTGAGAGTGCTCGACTGCTGCGGTTTGTGTTGAATTCAATGCTGTCCAAGCTTATTATGTGTGATTTAAGCACAGTCAATGGCTTAGGCACCTCTGGGGACATAGGCAGTGTTCAGGCATCTCTACACACATCTTTGAGTCACAATGAAACTTGGGTGGGAGTTACATGCCTGGCTGCTTAAGCCATGGTGCTTCTCAGCTTCCCTGGAACTTATGCCTAGACGCCGGGGGAAATCTGTTGTCCAAAATGATTCATTTTAGGTGCCACCAGGGGTTAGGTGGTGCTTGAGAGTGGGCGATTTGAATCATTCTCCGAGAGTCTGGCGCCCAAAGTCTGACTAAATTATACTTTAGGTGGAATTTAGACAGTTTGATTTTCTCCCTCTGTCCATATTGTCAGTAGTATATAATAAAAAATGAAAGTTAATGAATGGAGCACTGTGTTCTCAAAGTGAAGCACACCCTTGGTGGAAACTGCTGAAAACAATAGCAGGAATTGAAGCACATGAACTGAATACACAGGCTTGAATTTACACCACCCCAGCCTGCTGGTTTGAGGTGTACTGTAAATTACAGAGGCGCCAGCTGGCAGATTGAGGAGACCAAAGATAACAAGCAGGAAAATCCCTAACAATACAAGGTTTTAGGTCATACATATATACGTTACAAATCCAGACATTCAGGTATCTCTTAACGTCCCACAGGTTGAAGCATCAGGCAGATGCATCCAGAATGTTAATAAATACACACCAATGTTCCTGCAACAACTACGTGCCACTCTATCAAAGCATATGTATACTCAGAGCCGCAAAGGCTTTTGTTGCATTCTCCTCTTTTTTACTGGATTAAATGTAGCCATAATTTTTCCTACAAACAGGTGCTGTGGCCCAAGCACAGCACAGACTGTACATTACGAGGTTACTAGAAGAGCAGTTACAGGAATTTTGCATGAACTTTACAA